TAACCAAACTATATATAAACTATAACTTATATATATATAACCATAACTATATATAAACTATAATATATATATAAACTATAACCAAAGTTGAAAAATAGTTCAACTTTTAGTTATGATGCATCTCTACATTCACAATTATTTTCCCCAAAATTGATCTAAAAAAAAAGTTTTATTAGTTTTAAATGTTTGATTGAGGTTCAAATTGTAGTCATACCCATTCTTAAATTTTAGGGAAAATATCAAAGCGCTTTGTCACCAGCATCCTAAAAAATGTAGGAAAACAACGAGCACAAAAAAAAAACTACTTTAGAAAATATGCCCCCTAGCGACCATTGTTATACAAGTTATCTCATAATGAACAACCATTGTAACCCAAAATAATTGAAAAGTTTACGTTTTTCAAATTAGATAAGTATTTTTTTGGTTTTCTTGTAAAAGTTTTGTTAAGATTTTAATAACATCAAAAAATTTTAGATTTTTCACTTATTTAATAATTTTTTATTTTATTTTATTTTATTTTAATTCACCTCCTCAAGGCCGAGAAGGCCACTACAGACGAGGAGGCTACTTATTTGTGGCTATAACCCTCTCTCAACTCTATAACTCCGAAACACGAACCTTGACGAACAAGGCCGCTGCGCGGAGAAACGAGTTGAGCGCGGTACTACCAGAGACGTGGTGGGGATCGAACTCGGAACCACTCGTTTATGAAGCGAGCGCTCTACCACTACACCACTACCGCATATTTAATGGTACCTTAATATTACTTTAATTTATTTGTGTTTTATGTGAATGTAACTAATTAAAGTAATAAAAAAAACAATTGGGGTGATATCGAATCAATTGAACCCAAACTTTAGTTGTTACCGAGCCAAACCCAAAATGAGCTTAAGACCGAATCGAACCGAACTCAAACATTAGATTAACCCGAACCGAACCGGACCCGAACTTTAAAAAAAGGTTCGATTCCCATTTCTATTTCTTACATAAACACATTCATATATATAAATATATATAAATATATATATATATATATATATATATATATATATATATATATATATATATATATATATATATATATATATATATATATATATATATATATATATATATATATATATATATATATATACATATATATATATATATATATATATATATATATATATATATATATATATATATATATTTATATATATATATATATATATATATATATATATATATATATATATATATATATATATTTACACATATTTTCTTAGTTAAATTTGTAGTTGCTTTGAATAACTAGTGTACAAGTTATGTTTCCCATCTCTTATAAGACGCAATCTTTTTTGGGTAAAACTATTTTTGTAAGCCGTGTTTGCAGTAGCTATCTTGAACGCAAAGTTGATATTTTGTCTTGTTGTTTTTTTAGATTTATTTTTTGTCTTAATGTTCAGCGGATAGTTTTGGTTTCGTAGAATACGTTTTAGGATTTTTATACATATATTGTCAATGTATGTGTCGATATTTTCAATGTTATATTTTGTTGTTGCGATTTCTGCACTAATACCTATAGATTTTAGCGTTTTTAGATGTATTTGCTGTATTTTGTGTTTTTTTTTGATACTACTTAAACACAGTAATGGTAAACTATGGATCAGTGGCTAAGTCCTATGCTTCGGGTTATTGTTACTAGTAATTCGCTACGAAAGCCTAATTATTTTAGACTTCTAATTAGATACTGAGCAGAGAAGAATTTGGGCTTGATGCGATGCCATTGTTGGTTGGTGTTTATTTTAATATTTAAATCTAATCCTAGGTACTTATATGAGGTTACATTTTTGAGAGCTTAGGAGTTGACGGAAACAGTTGGTGGTGGGAGTGTGTTCAATTTGTTACGAGGCGTGCTCATGATTTTGCATTATGTTGTATTTAACAACATTTTGTTTTTAATGCACCAGTTATTAATTTTGTCGTATATTTTTTGTGGTAAGGTTGAGTGGGCTAGGTCTCCAGCAATGTATGCAAGGATCTCATCAGCAAATTTGTAAAATTCAGTATTGCAGTTAAATATATCGTTTATATCAATAATGAAGAGTATAAAAAGAACTTGTCCGAGTGCACTGCCTTGGATAACTCCAGCTTCCTTAGGTCGCCATTCTGTTGCTATGCCGTTAGTATAAACTCGCTGATATCTAGTCTGTAGGTACAATGCAATCCAGGAAATAAGCCATTTAGGGAGGTATATTGTTAGTTTGCATTAAGAAGTCCGTGATTAATAACGTCAAAGGTTTTAGCAAAGTCAGAGAATATTGCAATTAAGTTTGTCTTTTTGTCTTTTGCAAAATGGCAATTACATGTCTTCTATGACACATGTGATTGCATCAATTGTGCTTATACCTGATAGGAACCCATATCGTTTGTTTTTTTCTAAGATGGCGTGAGTATGGTGGATACTAAATTTGGCGACAACTCTTGCTAATGTCTTGCAGAAGTGGGATGTAAGTGAGATTGGAGAGATGTCTGACCAGATACTTAGGTTTGGTAATTTAGCGTTTGGTGTTATGTTTGTAAGTTTCCATTGATAAGGCGTAAATGAGTGAGTGATACTGGTTAAACAGAAGACTTAGAATACCGGTGGTTTCAAGACGAACTCATTTGAGTAGTTTTGGGAAGATTTGGTCGGGCTTAGGTCATCCTTGTCCTAAGTTTTTTAAGAGATTTGAAACAATGCCTGTAGTAAAGAGTAGTGGTACGTTTTGGTGCTTTGAATCAATTATAAATCTTCGTTTAATTGCTAAATCTGTATCGATGGATTGATTTCTTAAGGCATTTTTAATTTTATTTATTTCGTTCCACCAGGTACTGGTTTTTTTTAGTAAGGCCACTATTGAATTGTTTTTTGTGGTGCCATATTTTTGAGTTAATAATTTTGCAACTTAAGTTGTTTCCCACTTGGAAACGTTAGTGAATTTTCCACTGACAGAAAATTCTATTGGGTGTTGTTTAATTTTACATTCAAATGAAAACTCTCTCATTTCATTTGTTAAAGGTCATCAATATAAATGACCTTTTTTTTTTAATTTTAATTCTCTAGTTTTTTTTCAGAATGCCATTTTTTAGCATGCTGCAATAAATGACTTAGAGTACTTGTTGTTATGGTGCTTTGAAATTTTGTTCAATTGTAGTAAAATATATAAAAACTCATTGAAGCAGTATTGTTAATTTTACTAATTAACCAATTTTCTTAAATTTGAACTTATAAAAAAGTTGAAATATTAATTGCAAAAACAGTTTTAACGGTAGTAGGGGCATAACCGAAGAAACGGAAATGGGGACGTAATTGCATTTGAAGGCACAACCGTTTTTTATCATTTGCTTATGAAAAATATTATTTAATATGGCAACAAATATACCTTGCGTTAGTAAAACAGTTACCTTCATTTTGTTTATGTCAAAAAGAGTGCCGGTTGCGCTCCTGAGAAATTGTGCATAATAATGTTTATTTTGATTAAAAAATTGTATTTACATCTTATTTTTTCAGACCTTTTTTACAAAGATTAAGCAAGATTTGATTTAGTGTTAAACATATGTGTTATCAGCGTTGTTTCATCAAGTGAAAGCCATTTTTGATATCAACCTAACCTAATAAGCAAGCTATGAAACAGTATTTTTCTAAAAACTGTCCTCTGGGACAGAACCGCATAGACGCACAGGAAGCACAATCGTATACTTTTGATATTTATCGTTACTAAATAATTACGAGTGACAATGATTACAATTGTTACACTTGAATGTTTTTATGTGAAAACTTAAATAAAAATGTTTTGTTTGGAAAAGTTAAGGATTTCGTATTTTTTATTTTTTATTAAAATATTAAGCTAAGAGTATGTTATATTTATATTTTTTTATACTTATGCTTATCTGGTGATTATTATGGTGATTATTGTTTCACTGCAATCGAATTATTATTTATATGGTGGTTATTATTTCACTGCGAGATGCATTCTTGATATCTTGCTCTTAACCAGAAACATTGTCCTCTATGGCTTATTTCACAATTGTTACACCCGAAGAAAATATAAGTATTCCGAATGAAAAAAATCAGCAACCTTGGAAACGATACTAAATAGAAAAATAGCTATACTTATCATTTCACTATATAAAGCGGAACTGGAAAAGCGCATGGTTCTAAAAACTTAAAAAAAGAAGCTCAAACAGTTGCCAAGACTGCAGAAACAAAAAAATGCTATACCTACGGAAATTGTAGGTATTTCAAATGAGAAAACGCTGTAAATACAAACAATGCCTACACAGTATGCAAACGTGCAACAAAATCAGCAAATAATCTGAGCGTCGACAGTTGTAAAGAGAATGTACCACGAAAAGTGTATCATCAACGATTTTTGTGAGGGTGCGGTTGTGCCTCACACTGGGGGCACGGCAGTTTCGTAATGGAACTTTATTCTGGGCATGCGCATTAACAAATATTTTTATCTTTAAGTTTTCAATAAAGCGAGCAAAACGCAAAAAAAAAATTAAAAAGCACAGATTTAATAACTAAATTTATTATACCTTTTAATAAAAATAAGTTTTTAGATTTTTTTTTATTTTAATAAATTATTAGTTGAACTAGTTTTAAAAGATACATACATATAAAAAAAAGTGTTTACTCACTTTTTATAAGTTCAAGAACATTGCAATTTTTTTAGTTACAAACTTTATGGAAGTCTAATTATTCTTGATAAATAAGTACTTTAATAAATTTTTCGTGAAAACCTGAAATGTTTAAGAGTTAAAGTTTAGGTATATAAAGAATATGTCCAATTTTGAGAAACCGGTAATTTTTTTTTCTTTGTAATTTATGAACTATTATCGCTGAAAAAATATCCGCTTTTTTAATAAAATTTCCATTTTACTAAATGAAATTACCAGATGTTAAAGAAAACGTTAGGAATTATTGTATTGGAAAACACACACACACACACACACACACACACACACACACACACACTTAAAAATTAAATCGTTATATAATATACATTTTTTGATTTTAAAATTCATCTATAAAGTTTCACGTTTCAAGCTTTTCTTTTATAAGGCTTTCTTTTTTTAATAGTTGGTCTAATTATTAAAGCTTCTGGAGAGTTTTTGATATAGTGATTGGACAAAATACTTCTCAGTCTTTGCTTTCCTTTCATATGACAAAATGTGCTGTTCATACTGTTGAATTCGGCATGCATGCTTTCTAAACCTTGCTCTCCATAAATATCAAGACCCGAATTCCAATTTCTAATAAAATCAACACAATGACTTTCTAACAAATGCATTTTTGGAGTAATGGACTCATTGGGCCATGTTTTACGAAAGTAACTCATTAATTTATCAATGGCTCTTTCTATAAAAAATTAAAAAACAAAGAAATAATTATGAACACCATTGCAAAAATAATTTCAATGCGAGTAACTTTCATAATAAAAAATAATTTAAAAAATATAATCTCACCTAATTCTGATATTGGATTCTTGTTAATTATTTCACTTGAATTCATAAAGTTGTAGCATGTCGAGTATTTGGAGAACAAAGCAACAAATTTCTTACTCAAGACCTTCGCCTCGTTATGAACATCTGTACCAATAAATCCAAGATCACTTACTATTTTAGGTATTGAATTACAAAGATCTAGAATACTGTTTAGCTAATGAATAAAGAATAAATTTTAGAACACATTTACAAAATTAATGTTTAATAACCTCTATGTATTTATGAACTTATGTATTTGAGAAGATATTTTTGAGAAAAATATGCAAATATAAGTATAGAAAAACCTTCAACATTTTATGAACATGATTCCCAATAAAACATTTTCCATGATAAGCTTGTCTTTGAACATGAAGACCGCATAGAACTTCATCAAGTTTTTTCACAAGTGGTCCATGTGATTTTTCAAATGTTTTAGATCTTAACTCTTCTAATTCAATCAGCTATATATAAAAATTATATACAAAACACACACAGACAGAAGCTCTTAAATTGATTAATGCTTCATAAAAAGAAGTATAATAAATTTTATTTCATTTTTTTTGAATATTAACTCATTATACCTTAGCATTTTTCTTCTCCATATAATGGGCTACTCTGGGCTGAAATATTTCACAAATAATTTCTTTATTTTCAGGAGAACGTAGAACATGTATTGCCATTGCTTCATGAATTAGAGTTATTTTTTCACAATATTCATTAATAACTTTTTCTCCTTCATATATTTTTAATTGAAGTGCAATATACTCATCAAAATTTCTGTTGTTTACAGTTTGATTTGTCATACACATTTTTGCTGCAATTTTTACATCTAAGAGATGACAGCCATCTTCAAGCATATTAAAAAATTTAAGATAAATTCCCAATGAGATATGTAATGATGGAATGCTTACCTAAATTCGTTAAATCAATAAAAAAAATATTAAAAATGATATAAATAAGTAAAAATCTAATATATTAGAAAAGTTTAATACTTGTGTTAATGGAATATTGAAAAGTGGCAAATCAATGACATTGTTACAAGTCTTTGCTAATTTTGGTATTCGACCTTTTTGAATAAAATTTTGGAAATCTGCATGAAGTGTTTCCAGAGTACGCTTGGAGCAACTGTGCTTTTGTTGAGAAGGATTCATTTTCATCTCTTCACGAGTTATATGACAAAACAAGCAAGCATGTCGACCTAATGTAATAATATCATTTTAAATATACAATTTAAAAAGTCATAAAAAAAACTGAATATAAAATTATACAATTTAAAAATATAAAAAATACAACTTAAAAAATGTTGTTTTGCAAAACTTTATAATTTTGTTTTATACCATTTGCACCAGTGATTCCATATGCTGAACATAAAAATTCGTAATCGCCAAATATAAATACTCTTATTTTTTTCTCACTAAAAATTTTTTTTTTCAAAATAGAGTTTTCTGTTATTTATTATTATATAATAACAATATGACAAAATAAAAATTACTTCCAACACAGTGACTGCAATTGATTAATTTGTGGTGTAAACCTTGAGAGACCCACAACAAGGTTGGGTTTGTACTCTTTCGCTTCAAAAATACTAAAAACACTTGTGTTTCTCTTGGCATTCGGCTTATCAACATTCACGATTTGATAACACATCTTAAAGGATCCACCACCATAATCACCACCAATTTTAATGTGAATTTCATCATTTTTTATATTGGAATGCTGTAGCAAATTTTTGCTATTTAATTTTAAAATAATTCAAATTTATTTTAAAAAGTAAATAACTTAATTTTATTAAACAACAACATTAATAATGGTAACATATATATATATATATATATATATATATATATATATATATATATATATATATATATATATATATATATATATATATATATATATATATATATATATATATATATGTGTGTGTGTGTGTGTGTGTGTGTGTGTGTGTGTGTGTGTATGACAGCAGGTTTTAGGCTAAAAAATATGTCACAAAAGCCATGCAATATTAGGAAAGGTATATAGAAATATATATCAACCCTCATTATTAGGAAAACTAAAGTCGTCTATAAATTGCCGACCTTTAGGTCAGTATCAGTTCAACACCTAGTTTTGACCTAAAGCCTTTTTTCACAAAGGCTTCACTATAGAAGACAAAATCAAGCTCGTCCAAAATTACCAACCTCAGATACTTTTAGGCTGGCCTAATTCTGAGGGCTAATATATATATATATATATATATATATATATATATATATATATATATATATATATATATATATATATATATATATATATATATATATATATATATATATATATTTATATATACATATATATATATATATATATATATATATATATTTATATATATATATATATATATATATATATATATATATATATATATATATATATGTGTATACATAGTATAATATTTACTTTTTTAGCAGGTTCAGTTTGTTTATTATATGAGATGGAAAATCTTTAATGTATCCCCAAGGAGCATTTTTTATTTCAAATGAATCAATAGAATCCTTTAAAGGAAAGTTAAATGGCGCATTACAAACTACCCAATCTTCTCCAGACCAAGATTTAGCTACTTTGCGTTGCTTTTTGTTTGATGCACATTTAATATTATTTGTTTTGAGCCATCTAAAATTTTGAACATTTTGAATTCAAAAACTTTTTTATTTATTTGCACTTTCATTTTTGTTTCATGTGGTTCAATTTAAAATGTTTTACCTTGCAATTATCTTCATGTTTGAATAGGTGATTCCCATATGAGCTTTCATACTTACCATTTCTTCTGCACTTATTACTGATGAAGGAATGTTCGACATTTTCAATATTTTAATTTGATCTTTTTCTCCAAATGAATTTAAAATAGCAGAGGTTTGTTGAAGTTGTGAGGTGCTGGCCAAACCAGGAACCACATTTAAAGAGTTTATAACAGCTAAATGTCTTTTCCTAATTGTCCTCTTACTAACATCTGAGCTGTCTTTATATGCCATTGAGTTGGAAGTAAATTGCAAAGGCTAGAAAGGATTGAAATTAAATTACATTTTAACAATTACAACAAAAACTACAACAAAGTTTTATATACATTTAAAATGTGTTTACCCTTGATCCTCCAGAAGGAAAAGAAAAAAAGTTTGATTCAGAGTTAATTTGCTTTTGCTTTATAACATGCAATGCAGCATCTTCTACAATCCGTGGAATAACATCATTTCCTTTTAATAAAAATATATCAGAAAGAGTTGTATCAAGTCCACTTGGAGTTTTTTTGCAAAAAGTCTGCAATAATTTTTCACCCATACAATTTTCTTCATGTAGTTTTTTAAGCTCATTGTCTTTAACTGCATAATTTAATTTGCATTTCTTATTGCAACCTAAAAGAATGTGCTCTATCATTTGTGTTAAATTAACAGAATTCAAAACTGAATTTAAAGAAATAGTTTGTCCACAAATAAAGCATTTAGCTTCTGTTTCCAACTTTCCTTCAATCTCTTTGAATAAACACACTGAGCAAAATGAGTGTTGACACTCTTTTAATATTAGTGGCTTATACATAATATTGTTGCATAACTTGCATATGCACAAGTTTAAGTGGGGATTTGATACAGGATCAATATCAATTACATTTAAACGCAATGTTGGTTTTGGTATAGTACTAATTAAGTTATTTATAATTGGCCTAGTCCATCTCTTCTGATTTTGTTCCATGACACATGGTCGACCAGGTTTACATTTTTTAACTTTTCTTCCAACAACTTTGGGGAAACAAGAACAATTGCCTGCACATGGTAAAGGCCAATCAACTGGTTTAATACTAGAACTTGAACCTTTTTCAATGTTCCTTAAATTGGTATAGCATCTATTACACATCTTTTGTGGGTGAATTTTCTTATTATCAATGCTGGTGTTTATATAATAGGAATTTTCGATTCTTTCGGAATATTTATTTATATCAACTGGATCTTTTATTATATCTTCTCTGCATATTCTACAAATTAGATTTAATTTGGTTGCATGGTCCATGTTTAAAAGATTTCTAAATAAAGCAGTTACGTCAGATAAATAAAAAATGTGCCTTTAAAAAAAATTACCGGTCTCTAGAATCAACTTTAAAAAGAGATCAATAAAATGAAGAAAACAAAACAACTTAGTTTCAGCTACAGAAAATTCGTTTTATTGTAATATAGCTGATTAAAAAACAGAACATTTCAAGAAAAAAATATCACCTTTTGATTTAAAAGTTTTCGTTAAAAAACATAATTTCAACAACAAAATTTATAATATAAAGATGTATCTGCCAACTCTAAAGCAAATCGCTACGTTTTACAAAAAGTTTGAAATATTAAACATAAAAAAATTCAAGTTAGAGTAGCTGAGCTTAAGAAAATAATTATACAAAAAATCATCGAATTTCTGATGTTTTGCAACTGTTCACTACGCATGCTCAGAATAAAGTTCCAATAAGTATCAATTTGAAACTGCCGTGGGGGTACAACCGTTTTTATGACTAAGTGTAATTTTTGTGTAATAACATTTTCATAACATTTTCAAAAATTGTTTTATTTTTTTCTTAATTGCAGAAAGTTAAAGCTTAATAATGTAGTTTTTGAAACAAACTTACAAAAAAGCACGTTTCGTTTTTATTTTCATATAACATTTCAAACGTTACAGGGACGGTTATGCCTCCGCCTACCCTATATATAATAGTTGCTCTCTTGAACTACCTTGTTCATTTTATTTAATAATGTAAACAAATAATTTCTCATTTGTCTATAATTGAACTCTAACTTACGAAAAAAAATCTTTAGATTTATGCGTAAGTTAAGCGTTTATTTTGCGCAACCTTAACTTTACGCTTACAGTGCGAAATGTTTGTGAATGCCAAAGAGTTACGAAAAAATAAATTTGCATACGTTTTCCGTAAGTTACACAAGAGTTACAAAAGTTTTGTGAATCAGCGCCCTGATGCACCCTTTTATTTGCACATTTTGAAAGAAAATGCATAGCAAAAAAAAGTCTATCGTCTGGTGTCATTGACCTATTGCATAAGCAAACAACAGAATACTCTACTTAAAATATAAGTTTAAATAATATCCTTATTTAATTTCTTAGGTAATTTAACGGAATTTTCATAAATGGAAAAATTGGAGTTTTTAAATAATTTGCGTAATTATGTAATAAAATTTAAAGTATTTTCAAAACAAATGTTATCTCCGTAGATTGTGTTTTTCAACGTAATAATTTATTTTTAATAAAAAAAAAAAATTATAATTTTTTTGGCGAAGTTAACTTTTCAAGACCCAAATTTAACTTCCGAAATTAAAGTCGAGTTTAAATATAATGTCGAATTTAGATACAATTTAAAGTCGAATTTAGGTCCAATACGTACACCGAACTGGATTGAAATTTAGGTCATATGTGTTCCCCGAATTAAACTGAAAGACAAAATTGAACTTTTGAACCAAATTTATCAGAAAGCCTTACCTTAAAAAAAATTGAATTTAAAAAAAAATTTTATAAAAATAACGAAAGTACAATTTTGAATAATCATTTTTTGTAAAAGAAAATTATTATTTTTTAGCTCGTAATTATTTCAAAACATAATAAAATGCAATTGAAACACAGTAATTTTTAAATTATTAAAAAAAAATACGCTTACAAAAATAACAAAATTTGCGAAAAATTAAGTCTAAAAGCGCTGTTATAATGAAAATTAAGTTATGAAATTTGTACAATTCATAATGCATTTGAACAAACATGAACAATAGAACAATAACAACGCCATAGAAAAATTTTCAATATCAGTTTTATAAAGGAAAAAGGTCGTGAAGAATGTTATGTTAAATAATGCCCATGTGCTTTGCTTTTATAAGAAAGAGTTGATAAGAGGTTTTTAAAAGGAAAAACATTAAGGGATTTGTTAACAAACTCTTCAATAATTGTAATATAAAAAATTGGCTTTAAGAAAAATTGGATCGTGTTTATCATCATCAAGAAAAATTGGATCGTGTTTGAAAAAAGATTATACTATTCAATCGACACTTGAAAATGTTAGAACTTGCTAAAAGAATCAAATGCAACACATGAGTTTTAAAAAACATAATGAACGTTGTAATTTATTGTAGAAAAAAATTTTTTGTTTTTTGTTTTTTGTTTTTTGTTTTGTTTTGGCGATCTATTTCAAAGCAGGTCCGTAGTGAGTGCAAAGGTTGCCGCGCACCTGTTTTACTTTTGCCCTCTTTTTATATTTTTTTAACTTCTTTTCTTTCTTTTTTTATCTTCTCTTCTTTCTTTCTTAACTTCATTTTTTTACTTCTTTTTTTAGGCAGAATATAAAAATTAAACTTAATTTTTTATTTGAGGCGTGAACTTCCTGTTAAATGCTCACCCGCGGTGCTCTTTGATAAGACCGTAAGGACTTCTGGGAGCACTTAAATACATACAAAAAAACAAAAAAACAAAAAAAAAATCAGTAGTTAGTTAGTATATTAAGTTGAACGACTCTTTGTGAAAATAGTCTGTCTTACTTTTGGTACTTTTAATTTGTTTTTAAAATATATATACTTTACAATTTTATACTTTTATGTCAAGTTTTTTTATTTTATGCTATTTGTGCTTATTAAATATTGGTTATTAAAACTACACAATTGCTTAAAGATTAAATTAATCAATAAAATGCTGATAAAAAAACAATCCTATTTAATTTATATAGTATTACATTGCCTCGAAGCCTTTTGAGTTGAACCGGGGCCGCCTAAAATTCTGAAAACCGCCCCTTATGTTCAATTTACAATAAATTAAACCAACTTAAATTACGTTAAAAACTTTAATATTCAAAAGTATTTTTATAAACAAAAACAAACTAAAAAATAATAAACGTTTATATGTAAGTTTTTGTAAAAAAAATCTCAAAAAAATAAAGCTTAAAAAACTTAAAAAACTTAAAAAAGTTTGTTAGATTTTAGTGATAAAAATTTTAATGATTTTAAATTTAAACCATGAATCGCTGTTCATGCAATGAAAAAAGGAAAACAAAAAACTTCAAATCAAAAAGAAACGTTTACGTTAGAAAGAGAATTTTTTATGAAAACAGTCACCACAAATTTCTTATAAAGCCTATATGTGGGCTTTAACAAGTGTAATTTAAGATAAATCGCTATAAATATTACATAAAACTCGGGTAAAATAAAAAAAATATCTATTAAAATTCAGCGTATTGTTTTTTTCTCTTTTTATTGTTTCTTTTAATTCTTTTCTTCTTCTTCTTCTTTTACACTTTTTTCTTTTTCTTTGCAAAGTTTTTGCAAATGACGGATGCATTTTGTTAACAGTAAGATAGCAAAAGTAAAAAAAAAAGAATAAAGAATGACACAAATTAAAAATATAAGACTTTTCTTTTAAACGTAAATAATTAATTAACTATGACGTGAAAGTTATTTTAAAGTAAATGAAAATAGACAAAGAAAAAAATAATGAATTAATCGAAAAGAACTCTAAATCTCAAAAAAAAAAAAAAAAAAAAAAAAAAAAAAAAAAAAAAAAAAAATTTGAAGAAAAAAAAAGATTATTGAAGCTGAAAAAAATCAAATAAAAACGTTAGCGAAAAAGAGAGAGATGAAAAATTATATAAAATAGTATAAAATTAAAATAAAGAAAAGTTTTTCAAAAAAGTGCAAGTAAATTTGTTTTTGTTTTGTTTAATTTTATTTATCTTTTTTTTAGTTTATTATTTTTTTGTTAAATTAAATTATTATTCATTATTTCACATTTCAAAAACAGTTAAGGCTGAAAGGATCCGACCACTTATAATTAATATAGATATTTACATAACAATAGAAAATACTCGTGCTGGCAATACTTTAAATAGTCACGTATCATGGCTGACGACACGGGTCTCAAAGTGGAGGGTCAATTTCAAAAAAAAATCCGCTATATATAGATTTTTTTTTTAAAAAAAAAGGCCTTTAGAAAAAAAGTGGGAGGCAGTTCAAAGTTTTAAAACGTGGTTTTTATTTCTTGTACTACTTAAAACTATTTTATTTTTTTTATTTTCATGTGTTGTTGTTGTTGTTGTTTTATGTTATTTATGTTTATACTTGTTGTTTTTAAATTAAACACAATGCTGTATAAAAACGGTTTTTGCAATAACTATAAGGGAGTCGGATCTTTTAACCCAAAACTGTATTTATTGTCAATTTATATTTGCTTTATTTTAAGTAGTTGTTAATAATAAGCGGTAATTTTCATAAATGCGTTAGCAACGTAGTGGTAGAACGCTTGCTAAGTAAACTAGTATTTCCGAACTCGATCTCTTCGTAGTACCGCACTCGAGTGCGGTACTACGAAGTCCCTTTTCTGGACAAAAATTGTACATAAAAACAAAAAACCTTATTCTAAAATACAATTTTTATTTAATTAACTATAAACCAGAATTTTACAATATGCAAGTCAAGTAAGTAAAAAATTTAATAAAAGTTTTCTTCTTACCTTTATTGCTTCAAATTGGTCGATAACACTTTTTCAGTTCAATGGAACTGCTTCAATAGCTATTAGGGCTAGTGCACACAAAATGATTTGCGCCATTGTTGACCGTAAATGTGTTTTAATGTGATTAAGGTTCTTTTTGCAGTTGCTACGCTAATGGGTAATGTCAAATATAACATGAGTTAAGTGCTGCTATTATATTTTTAAATGAGCAACTTATATCACAATATGTTATTGTTGACACGGGTAAAATGCAAAAATGCGGAAACTTTCAATGTGTAAAATCCAGGGAAAAAATTGCGGAAAATTTCTCCTACCTAAGCTTATTGCTGCCCCAACTAAAACACTTAGTCAGTGGTGGTAGGTTTAATCTTCTAAGTCTTTCGTAGTATGACAGATGCCTCAAGCTGGAAGTCTGTTTTGTTGCTTTGTGTTGAATAAATTCAATTAAGGTTTTATGAGTTTTTAAATAAGAAGCCTAAATAAACCCTTTATATATTTATGGTGTAATGTAATAAAAACTTTATATAACTTGAGAGCCATATTTTCATTAATAAAGGTGAATGTCTCTTGATGTAATCTCGAAATCGAGATTAAATCAATAAATTGGTGAAATACTATAGAAAATGAAATAATATCAAAAGTCTCTATTAGATTAGTCTCGCATAATTTATGGTGAAGAAAACCATGTTGATTTCCAGAGAACATTTTATTATCGTTAATTTTAATGCTAGTTTCTTTTATGTGTTCTTTTTGCTTTAAATATTTCAGCTTTTACGGAACGATTAAGAAGATAGTTGTTTATTTTAACCTTATTGTTCCTAAAGCGGCCCTTAGTATTATTACATAACATAGAATTAGGAAACAATTTTAAATCAAAATTACGGTTGTAGGTAAATAACAAGTTCAACATATGGTTTGAGCAACCATAGGGTGTCTGGACTTGGACAAATAGTGATATGTTAAAATTACCGGCAATGAAGCAGC